ACTGCCTCTTTATTCTATTATATTCCTCGGCGGTGAACCGAGTAGACATTGAGGGCTGCGTCCTCGGAACTTCCCGCGAGGAGTTGGCCCTTCCTCGGGTTTGGATGTTGACGGTTCCATTCCAGTCTGCAACATCGACAGACACGGTCATTTAGGCCTTCGTGCTCGTCCCGTGCGGCGGCAGGGACAAGTTCTTAAAACCTAACAGTGACTCGAGCCGCCATCCACGGCTCGAATCCAATACGGCGTCACTTCCCCTTGAAACACCGGAGACCCAACGCCATGGTCCATCCAAACCATGCAAATAAAAAGGAAAGGAAAACCTTACTCTTTGGGATGCGAACTGAGGCCGAAATTCGTTTCGTTGCCTGAAAAGCCCCGATCGGAAGAGAATGGTTCCTGGTTTGCAAAGGTTTATCACTCGAATCGAAAGAAGTTTCGGTGACCTCATCTGAAAAGTACAAGCTTTTATATGGATTGCGAACCGACGGTTACCACCCCTCGGAACCGACGACAGCACTCTCTCTCCTTGCTTAAATGCGCCCATGTCGCATTAAATGCCGTGATAAGAGTCGTCGTTTCGAATGCGTTACATAACCAATGCTATCAAAACGCGTCGGCTCAACACAACGCATTAATGTGTCTGACAAACACTTTAACCCATGCAGAGCGCCGACAGCGCAGAACCAGGTTCATTGAATCTCTAAGGTATGGAAATGAGCGTCCATCAGATCCAGGTCGCAAGGTTGAAGATTGTCAGGTTGCTTAGGCAAGGAATTGCGCGAGATCGTGTTCGCCAAGAGTCCTGTTTCGACTCATCCCATTCAGTCGGGGCGACCAGAACTCCGATTACTTAGTTTCCAAGGTTGATCCTCAAACCTTAGAAACTAGGGGCTTCTGTTATCCTGGGGAAATAAGGGCTGAGTGTAGAAAGTCACGTGAAAGTGACCTGCTCCCGTCAAGGCAACACGCACAGTCAGACCTTCTACATGATATGGGACTCACACGCGTCCCTTTCCCCTGCAATAAATCATGCAAATCAGCTTGGGAAGAGAGCAATTGGACATAAAGCCGGATTATATCCTGACAATCACACCAACCCATGGATTTAATGATAATTACACGCTTCAGATTGGTATAAATGAGGAAGACCCCTTTATTAAGGGGATTCGGCCATTTTTATAAGACTCTCTCTCTCTCTATAAACACACTTACTTTTGATAATTCTGTGTAGTCATCCGCTTGGCGACCTGACCCACACAATATCAATACAATCAGTGGACGTAGGACTTGCTACCTTAGCATCCGAACACTTTAAAGCTTTCTCTGCATTTATTTCGCTTTATATATTCATCATCACGTGTTAATCCACCAATCAATAGTACTCACGTGACAATTAGTTGGTGTCGAAAATCAGCATCAACAGTTATGTGTTTTAATTTAAGTGAACTTTGTAAAGCTCGGAGCCGAGTACTTGCAGGCTTGGTACTGACCTCGTTTAATGTTCGAATAGTTCAAGTCTTGATACAAGCTGGCCCAAGTACCTCTGCTGGCTACTTGGCTCCATTGCACCCCTAACTAGGAGATGACAATAAAAAAAACAGATGGGTCCAGCAACTATGCCCTAACCTGGCGGACCTCACTAAGAATATTACCTGAACCCCCTAAGTGTAACTATAAGATATAAACCCTCTCTCACTCTTAAAATCATTGTCAACAACATGTAACACTTGTGATTACTTTTAATAGAGAAATGGTAAATAGGTAAATGACAGTACTTTTAAAATTAATTATAATTACTAATTTTATAATTAATATTAATAAAACAAATATTCACCCCACCACAAACATCCCCACCAACAACACTGTACCAAACACCATCGCACCATTCCACCAACAATGCCCAATCCCCCACTGCCCTATACCGATGTCATCACTGCGGCATAAAGTAAGGCCACAACATAGCCTGAAACATGCCACAATGATGGCCTGAAACATGACCATGATGGCAGCCTTACGAGCCACGTTGGTGCCTAAAGCATGGCACAATTGGGGTATGAAATAAGTCTCCACCTTGCAAGACCAATGCTATGGTGGCCTTGTAAGTAATATGGTGGCCTATTATTGTTGTAACTCCCATACCATTATGTTTTTCCATAGGTAACTGCCCATTTATATACTTCTCTTCTTTTGATGGGAAAAAGAGTTTTTTTCTTCAGAAAGAAATATACGATATTTTCCAATAGAGTAAAAATAAGGCGGTCCTAGTCTACAAGGATGTCTGTGATTTCCATCAATTACAGGATTAGTCTTGGATAGACCGATAAATCTCACTAATTTCTCACAGTATTTGGTGTATTTGGAATCGATTGCTATGGCGGAGGTATGTGTTCTTGGGCTTCTACTTTTAATTTAATTATATATTGCTTACATGGTATCAAGCAATATCCTATTCTAGTATTCATTTTTTTTTGATGTAAATCAAGCCATCATGATTGCCAAAAACACATGTAGTTTCGGCCCAAGGGACAAAACCTTAGGCTATGTGGGAGCATTAATCATGAGGATAAGAAAACATAGGCTAACATACTCTTTTTGATTTGGCATAGATAAAGTTGGAAGATTTGGGCAGCTCATTGTCTCTTATCCAAAGGAGAAAGTCACATGATTCTTTAATTTCTTCTAAGATTTGACCTAAATTATTTATGTTATTTGTGTTTACATTCTCCCATGTATTTGAAATATTTTGAATTTCAAATCTCCCTTGGTTGTCACTTGTGTGGTTGGGATTGATTTCATTTGTTTGTACCACATGGATGGCTTATATCTTTGTGAATTAGGGTAACTTTGTAAGACCATTTTAAAGGGCTGAGTTTTCCATTGTAATTCCAATTTGATGAATGAAAAATTGCTCTTTGAGAGTGTTTTCCTTCATTTATCCAATCTTTGCTAAGGATTGGTGTGGCTATCATTGGTTGGTGGTGTAACCTTTATACCTTAAATCACTTTAGCATTATTCTTTGTTGCAGTTGTGTTGAGTTGATTAGTTGCATTTGTGGATTTGGCTGAATTGTGTTGAAGCTTTTGCCGATTGTTCTTGGTAGCTTTGTGTACTTGTGGTTGTGTTGCCAACATCTCACTGTCATTTAGTCACATACAGTTCACTTTCATTTAATTATGAATACAACTATGCTTTAGGTAGCTAAATATTTTTCTATTGTCCTTTATTGTACTCCACATGCAAAGCCATCAAGAACAAATTGACGCTTATATTAAGATGTGTAGATATTTCATCAAATCCAATAATAATAAAATAACATGATAATGAATTTATATGAAAAGAAAAATGCAAGGTGTCCAAAAAAGACTGTAGAACTAAATCATTTTATACACCATGTGGTTTTCATGATCTTAATTTACTTCTTTGTGACATGGCTAACTCTTGTTCTAAAACTTTGTCATTTCTTTTGTTTGTACAATGCATATTCATTATTTTCTTCTTCAACAAAGAGATGAATCTTTTTTTTTTTTTCTGGATGACGGGGGTGTCCTGACTAGTTTGCGTGCACCTCAACTAATTCGCGGATCTATTGTATACTCTACAAACCTAATGTTCTAAGGTAAGTTACAATTGTGATAGGTGGTCCCCAGGTTCGAACCCAAAAAGTTAATGAAGTGAGCAAAACTTTCAAAACAATATATTGAATCGAACAATTACATCATTGTCGAGGACACTTTGGGAAGGTCTTGTAGAAAGTGTTGAAGCAATAAGATTTCAAACAACAAGGTAAGTCACAAATGTAATAGGTAGTCCCAAGGTTCGAACCTAAAAAATCAATGAAGGGAACAAACTTTTCAAAACATGATTTTCTTCTTAGAAAAGCATAGAAAAAATGGATTTGTATCTGTTATGATTTCAACTAAAGAGATTGCATATGAAATGGATATAAAGCCTGTATTTCGTTAAAAACATTTATTATGTAGAAAAATTCAATTTGATGAGAATGTTAATGAAAGTTTATCTATTGAAGATTCTTTCAAAATTGATTATTTTATTTACATAGTAAATTAAGCTATTTCTTCAATTAAAAATAGATTTGAGCAATTTCAATTGAATAAAAATTTTGTAATTTTTTTTTTTAATTGTGTGAATTAATATCTTTGGGGATAATTAATAGGATTTTGTTAAACGGTCAAAATGTCATTTTTGTGTTTAATGGATTTTATTGACAGGTTCTAATATAATTGGGGCTTGGGCCGTCCCTTCAAAACGGGGTTTAGTGTGATTTGTGAAACTTGTCGGTGTTTCTAAAAAAATTCCCAAAATTAATCCCACATCAGGCCCTAAGCATAGGAATTAGGGCTGTGCAAGTGGCGATTAGGTGCTTTGGTTCGGGTTTGCCAAACCCAAGCTGAACCAAACCAAAAAAATTTGAGTTCTAAAAAACCCAAACTGAACCATATTTATTAGAAACTCAGACAAACCAAAACATTATAAACTAGGTTAGTTCGGTTCCGCTTAATTCATTTTAGTTTATATAAAATTATTATTTTTTTCTTTGTCAAATTTATTACATGTCATTTAAGAACTGTATTTTTCAGTATACTTAATTTTTCAAATTAAAAATTGGTCGAATTCTGATTAAGAATCTTAGGATTATAATATCTTGACTTTAACAATTGCATGATAAGCACATTTAACAGGTTAATTAATGATAAATTTATTCATATATTATACAATAAATATATTATACGATTCGATTAGGGTGTTTCGGGTTGGAGAGTATACCCTAACTAACCCAGTCAAATTTTGTTCGGGTCTGTTTGGTTCCATTTGGTATTTTATTATCTTCAGTGTGGGTTTTCGGGGATTACCAAACCCAAAGATGTAACAAGTTGGGCGCAGTGGATAGTTTTTTCAAACTAGTGAGGATTTAAATGTAATCGAAAAAGTTTTTTTTTTTTTTTTTCTATTTATTTTTAATGAAATACTACTTGAGGTGTCCGGAAGCTCAAATCTCCATGGCTGTCCATTCTCTGCGGTTTCCAGTCTCTGCAACATGCCCCATCCAAAACCTAGCTTCAACTCTCTCAACCGTCAGATTCTCAATCACAGTCAACCACATTCGACTCCTTTCTTCTTCTGCTTCCGCTTCATCTCCACCGTCCACTTCTCATACTTTGACTCCAAAGCTGTGCGCCGGAAAGTGGGAGCCTTTCCGCAAAAAGAAAGTCGTTTTGCGTCTCGGCTACGTCGGCTCCGACTACAGAGGTCTTATTTTTTTTTTTTTTTCATTTATAATTTTATTATATTTTGGTAAAAAAAGATACATATATTAAATTTCTGATTTGTGTAATTTGTTATTTTTTCTTTCAGGCCTGCAAATGCAAAGAGATGAACATTCATTATCAAGTAAGCTTCTTCTCTTACTTCTCTTTTATTTAATTTTTTTCGCTTCTGGAAAATAACCTTACAGTTTTGTCAATTCTTCTAACTGGCTCATTAGAAAACTATGATACTATTAGTAATTTTGATATTTTAATGATTATTTTGATGTTTACGTTTATAGTTTTTAGTAAATTATGTTAGCGACATTGACTATGTAACTGATTTTAATCAGCTAGGGTGGATGGGATCTTGCTAAAGCATTACAATTTTGAAATGTAGCTATTGAAGGGGAACTGGAAAGTGCTATTTATAAGGCTGGTGGAATTCGTGATAGTAACTATGGAAATTTGAACAAAATTGCTTGGGCTAGAAGTAGCCGAACTGATAAAGGAGTGAGTTATATACTGATTACATTGTTTTCGCCTTCTATCATATGATCTTATTTGTATTTGCTGATGTTTATTGTTGGTTTTCTTTTTGCCAAATATTGTAGGTTCACTCCTTGGCAACCATGATATCTATGAAAATGGAAATTCCTGAAGACGCATGGAAGGAAGATCCTTGTGGCATTGACCTTGCTCAACGCATGAACACCCATCTTCCTGAAAATATCAAAGTTTTCAGCATTTTACCTTCTCAAGGGTGAGACTCACTTTTTATTTTATTTTATTATTTTTTTTCAAATAAAAAGATTTTGAAGATGTAGTTGTGCCTCACGTTTGCTTTATCTAACCTTTCACACATTTTGTCTGAGTGTATTTCATTACGGGATCTTTTTTCAGTACCACTTGACGCCAATTAATTATTCTTATCATGAGGTAAACATATTCATGGTTCATTTGCTTTAAACTTTCAAGGGACTCCATTTATAAGTCATTTTATACTAGGTTTTGGTTTCTTTCTCTTGTGGTTTATTTTTGTTTGTGTTCTTGGTTCTTATTTATTTTGTTTTACTCTTTTTTCATTTATTTAAAACTCTTTCAGTGACCAAGGGAGATCATACTTTAGTAATTGTTGATCTACTTCCATTTTTTTTTTTTGGTGGAAATGGTGAAGGACTATCATGTATTAATGGAAGAAAAAAGAGAAACACATTAGTGGATCTGCTATCCATTGGAAAAGTTAGATCATTGGTTGAGAAGATGGTAAAAACTATACAAAGAAGTTATGAAAGTTGTGTTTTGCAAAATTTTCCAATATCTTAAAGATCTTTGTTGTTTCATGTGTAGTTTTGAAAATGAATTTAGTGCTTTTCAAAAACCGTGTTTTAAATTCAAGCTATGCAAATATTTTAGGTAGGTTTTTGAAGTTGAAATTTTAAAAAAAAAAAAAAAAAAAAATTGAAGAAATAGAATCAAATGCTAATTGTCAATATATTGATAACATGTATCTAGGGGTGTGTAAAAGAACTGGCCGGAACCGAAACCGACGGGTACCTGGGTTCTGGTTTCGATTCCTACCCGGAACTGGCCCTCACAGGGTAGGTTCCGGTTCTAGAAATCAAGAATCGGCCAGTTTTGGTTTCGGTTCCAGTTCCTGTAGTGTAGGAACTGAGAACCGGATTCGGAACCGGTGTATGGGTCTTCACTTTCAGTCGATTTTCTTCTACTACTTGGAGCAGAAATCCAACCATCTTCAACTTTGTTGAATCCACTCCTCCCACAAGTTGTAGCGCAAAATCCCGCAAAGCCTAGGACCCTAGAATCTTAAACAACCTGTTAAAGAGTTGAGAGATGTTGGTTGCCTCTTTTGCAACTTCTTCCATAGCTTCGGTGGTTGGTAAGAAGAAAGGATATTGGGGTTTGAAGAAGAAGAGAAGAAAGAGAGAGTGGGTTAGTACTTTTGTGAGATTCATGAAAAAGGGTGAGAATTTATTAAAGAAAAAATAATGCTTTATGAGTTTGATACATTATCAAGAAATTATGACTTATGAGGAATTTTCTTTATCAAGTCATTGAAATTGATGATGGATTTTAACATTAATTAATTAAATATAATATAACATCTAAGCCATTTTGTAATTAATTAAACAAAATGGGGTGTATTTGTAATTTTTTTAAAGGTTTATTTGTTATTGTTGAAACTAATAGGGACCATTGTAGTTTTCCCGGGTACTTGGAATCGGAACCGGAACCGGAACTTGAAAAATAGGTTCCGGTTCTAGCTATTGAGGAACTGGAATCAACGGTTTCGGTTTTGGTTCTAGTTTCTTCAAAAAATGGCGGGTACTTGGACCCGTCCACCCCTACATGTATCACATTGCATCTATGTTTCTCTTTTATTGATTTCTTAATTCTAACCTTGCGGCTTGCTCTTGCATGTAACAAAGGACTAGAAGTTCTCATTTTTTGCTTGAAGAATAGAGAAAAGATAAGCATAGTTGGCATTTGAACAGAAATTTGTGATCTTTCTTATCTAGATGTCAAATCATGTTGACGTGAGTTTTTTCCAAACGGTAAAAAATGTTTATGAGTGAAGAAGTGTTAAATGGGATATTTATTGTGTCAAAACTGGAAGAGATAGAAAAGAGTGAAAACTAAGGCTGTGTTTGTTTTATTATTTTTGAAAAAGTTGAGTTGGGTTATTATTACGAGGATAGGATTTAAAATTGAAGATGTGTTTGGTAAAATTATTTTTTAATCCTGTACATTTGTTTATTTAGTTAAACACTCCCTACAATAAAAGTTTTAAAATCAACAAAATTACCCCCACCTACCCATTAAATGCCGGCAGCCGGCCACCACTGTAGGACGGTGGCCGGAATGACGCATGACCGGTTGGATGTGACCGGTTGGGGTGTTTAGTTAAATTAACAAACCTAGAGGGTTAAAAAAATCTAAATATTTTTAGTTCAATAGAATAGGGAAATAAATATGTATTGTGAGTAGGATAGAAATAGGATAGGGAAAAATAACAAAACAAATACAGCCTAAGCTATGGAGAATTGAACATAGTTTCTCGAATGATTCTGTCAATATCTGGCTGCATTTTCTCAATCTGGTATTCATCTCAGGAAACTGGTGATGATCATGGAATGGTTTACAAAATGAGTAGAAAGGTTAGGGTTGACTATGCTCATGTCAGTAAGGGAAAAGGTGGTAAGTTTCTCTTCCTCCAAAAATGATTTTGAGAGAAATTTTATGATAAAAGCCAGAAGAGGAAAGAATGGGTGAAAAGCCATCTACACATTGTATCATTATCTATTTATAGTAGAAATAATGAATCCTCTATGTTATACGTCACTTTCTCTCACTGTTTAGGGTTTGCTTTGCATATGTATGGCTAGGTGGCAACTCAGCATCAGTCTGTTTCATGTAGTCCCCATTGTAATTGTGACCTTCCTATAGCTGAAGTCTTTTCTAGGAGAGGTTCTTTTTTGTTGTGCAGTTACGACTTTCCAAGGATAGGTGCTATTTGCTCATTTGTGATGATGGTGTTTTGTAAACTATTCTTACACATCTCTACGTAGTGTATTTACTTGTAATTGTAGACAATGCATGGTGTCTGCCCTTCTTAGCTTCATGTGTCCCAATAAAAAAGCTGAGAATTTGATTCCCCTTGTACCTTAAAGTGAATATTGGCCATCTTAATGAATATGCGCTCACATTTTCTGGTCATTTGTCTTCTATTTAGTATATTTTCTACTTTTGTTGTATTGATGAGCTGCTGTGGAATGTTGCCCTACCTGAACTTGGACATGCTATCTTGTTTGTTGAAATGACGTTTTGATTTTGACCAATTCATTCTTGCAAATGCTTTCCTCTGATTTGCTGGTGTATTTCTTAACACAATCAAGACCCTCAAGCTCAAAGAAATGACAGTGGTCATCCCTGGAAGCCAAGATGACATTAGGTTTTTGATTGGCTTTTAATCATATGCATATGTTGTAATGAGCCATATCCTTTTGCATTACCCCTTTTTCATTGATCTCTCAAAACATCTTTCTTTTGACAAAATCATTGTCTAGGAAAGAGCACTATCCTAGCTTCACTTCAGCTTTAACTGTTTTTCAATGCCTTTAAACAAAGATAGTTTATGAGTTTCTATCTCTAGATAGTTCTTTAGTGTTTTTCCTAGTACATTGTTGAAAGAATTCTTCTTTTTTGCTCCAGTTGAGATAATTGCACCACGCTTATACAAGAAGTTCATGCATATGTATGTTGTAAAGTTGTTGAATGAAAAACAAAGCAAACAAAATCATAGAAGTATTGAAATGTGAATGAGCATTGAAAAGAAAAATAGTGATAGAGGTGACAACCATAGAAAATGACATATTCATAGGAGTTTTGGAAATTTGTTGTTGAAGTGCCACTTAGAGCTACAATTTGCTATGACTTCTGAATAATTGAGACAACTTTGATGGATATATGATAGACTGGTGCAGATGGGTTGGGGCAATGGGAAGAAATCTTTCAATAATGAAATGGAAAAATGTCGAACTCAGCGGAGCTGGAACTCCGTGCACTTTTACAGATTTAAGTTGTCAAAAGATGTTCAAAAGCTGAAGAGAAGCTGTCGTGTTGCCCTTTTTCTTGGAGAAGATTTGGTCAAAAGAAAATCACTTCAGAGATCAATGACAGGGGAACAATGCATAAGAAAACGGCTTATGAAAACTATGAAGAAATGTACGAAACTTATTGGAGAGGGAAATAAATAAGCCATTATTGCCATTTAGAGTCACTTGGATACACATCTTGATACTTAGTTACAGTTTTGTGTGTAGTGTTGCCCATATTGGAGAAAATTTAAGTAAAAGAGAAGTAAGAGAAGAAATTTTTGTGAAATTTAGGATTTTGTTTTTTTGTACTGAGAGAGTGGATACTTGGTCCTTAAATTTACATAAGAACAGTTATTATGGACTCCTTTGAAAGATCCTATTATAATTATTACTCAATGTTTTCAGAAACTATTAAAAAGCTCCCTAGTAGGAAAACTTTTGGTAAAAAGTTATTAAACTCCTGAAACTTTTTAAAATTTCCTCAGGTGGGTTGTTTTTTTAATGATTTCTGAAAAAATTGGGTGAAATAAAATTCAAGGATCTCTTAGAACTACGACCCATTAGCAACGATATCAGATCTAATAAATTTTGAATATAAAAATGGGGAACATAGGGGTTTAAAAATTTGATGAGACCATGAAGTGTGAGAAAATACAATTATGTTATTATCCCATTATATACTTCTTTTCCCTCCTGAACATTTTCTACCATTGAGCCAAAATCTAACATCAGTAAATAGTCAGTCAGTCATTCTGCTAGTCGATGCTGCTTTTTTATTGGTTACTGATATTTTGATTTTGGTTCTTCCATTTAGGAGTTTTGATCCTAGAAGGGAGTGTAATCTCCGGAGATACTCTTACCTACTTCCGGCTGAAATCATTGGAATCAAAAGTCAGTTTACTGTGGCTGAAATTGATTATCATATATCAGACTTCAATGATATATTAAATGCCTTTGAGGTGTGGTAATACGTCTTTTTTTTTTCTTTTTCTTTTTTCTGTTTTTAAATTTAATTTATCTTTATGGTCTCTGGTTATTGAAATTAATTCCTGCTGTTGCCTAATTGAGTTGCTTCCATGAAGATTTTATGTACTTGGGTTGACATATACGTTGCAGCATATATAAGCATGTAGCGGGGTGTTTCACATCCCTGTGCCATTTATATCATGTGATTTCACCATATGGTGTTTCATACTTATTGGTTTGTGAGAAGCTGATGAGACCTCCCAATAGTAAAATCTATCAATATAAAGGGCATAAAGGGCATAAGGGCAGTAGGGTGCTGGGTGTGTGAGTGGGCATGTTTGCTAGTGAGAGTTGGTTGGAAAATATTCACGTGATGGGGAATCAAGTTGTTAGTGGGAGGAATATTTTAGTTAAGGGATTAGTATATAAAGGGAGGGGAGTTTAGGGAAGGATAGACATATTTTCAAAGGGTTATTAAGGGAGGTCCCCAGCTCCTCGAACTGCTGGGAATTATCTGTTCTTTTGGCTTGTTGCTGTTTCCAGTTTGTTTTGTTAAAATCTCATTTCTATTCAATCAATACATTACAGTTTTAATTCTAGAATTGGATTGCCATTTTTGCGTTTTGGACTGTTTTGTGGCTGGGTTTGTTTTAAATTGACAGAGTTTCCCATCAGAAGCCATTATGAAGTGAGATGAAAACATGTGCTTTAATGATGAGCATGGGATTTTTGTTGATTAGAGAGGTGTCCTTCTTTTAGAGCCCTGTCAAGAGGCTCGTTTTGTCTGACTTACAAACATATCCCTTTTTTTTCTTTGCTTGCTTTCGTGTTTTATGGTCATTATGGTTGCCAATATTATCTATTATAGGAATCTAGAGATAATTTGTTCATTGTTTATTTGTTGTGAATACTTTAATAGGGGGAACATCCTTTCCATAACTACACAGTGCGATCCAAGTACAGGAAACAACCTCCTAAGAATGGTCGTGTGTCAAAAAGAGCAAGATCATCTAGAGAGGCATCATTGTCTGATTCAGAGGGGAGTGAAGGAGAAGAAAATGTGGGGGTTGATGGAGCCAATTCATCAGATTGTGTGGAAACAATTCAAAGTTCTTTGGAGTCTGTTGTGAATCACGAACACCTAGATGACAGCTGTAATAAGCATGAAAGTGATATAAAGGATCACATTTGTGATTCAGTTGTTCGTGCAAGATGGCTGTATGAACCTGATGAAACAGACAGAATTGGTGCTTCCCACTTCAGAAAGATTTTTCACTGTTCTTGTGGGAAGCTGGAGAAATCACTTGGGTTTGATTATGTTGAAATTTCCATATGGGGTGAGTCTTTCATGTTGCATCAGGTAACTATTTGACATATCTTTTATAGAAAAATATCAGTTTCAATAGATTGTCTTTATTGTGTTTTCTTCATGTTTTTTTACTGAATTAATGACCTTAAAAATCATTATATGCTTACCAGATTCGCAAAATGGTTGGGACTGCTGTGGCAGTTAAGCGGAATTTACTACCGCGAGATATCCTCACTTTGTCTCTGGCAAAGTTCTCTCGAATTGTTCTACCCTTGGCTCCATCTGAAGTTTTAATTCTGAGGGGAAATAGTTTTTCCTTGAGAAAAAGACCCGGGGTTGTTACCAGACCTGAAATGCTGAGAATGGTTGAGTCAGAGGAAATTCTCAAGACAGTTGACGAATTCTACAAGTCTGTCATGCTGCCTCAAGTTTCACAATTCTTGGATTCTTCAAAGTCTCCTTGGAAGGAGTGGGTTGTGAATTTGGATGAGAACACAAGCATTCCGGATGAACAGTTAGATGAAGTGAGGAGAGCTTGGAAGTTGTGGAAAGAGAAGTTTGATTCTATTAGAACGGGTGTTGCATTGCATCAGTCATAAATCAATGAAGGTAGGCAAATTTATCGTCTTATTTAATAATGGTCTTGGATTGTGCTTCTAGCATTTGCTAAAATAGGAAATCAACTGAATCTTAGCCATCGTTGATGACAAGATTTTGGTAGATAACGATGGCTAGATTTTGGTCATAGATCTGGCTGTTTTTTGTCAGATCCACGATGGATTTGTTCGAAAAAGGTTAGATCGGCCTATGACTGATAAGATCAAGCTGATCTTAGTATGGACGTTGTTAGTTGCCATTCGGAGGTGATGGTCAATTTTCGGTAGTGGTTTGAGTATAAACTTTTATTGTGAAAGGTAATTATTAAACATTTTGAGTTGAAAAAAATATAATTGCATTTTGATTTGAATTCTATCAACATTAAAATAAACACGTTTTTTATTGTTTATTTTAAGTAGGATAATAGAATAAAGTTTTAAAAAGTTAAACAAACAAGAGGGTAATTTTAAATAAACATCAATATGAAGTTATTGAAAGATCAAAATGGCCAAGGAGGGAGTGATTTAGGCGATTAACTAAACATGGTCATTTTGTTTGCCAAGCTTCGGAGAATAAATGTTATCTTAAATCCTATCAATTTGTAATGCTAAGTTAGTTTCAAATAAGATATGAAGCTCACATAACCCACTCTATAATAATCACGAATATTAAATGTTGTTGGGCCAATACCGAAATCGAAAAATCACAAACTGAAACTCAAATCCGGATTCTTTAAGGATTTTTTTTTTTTTTTTTTATTATTTAAAGATAAATCTAGTTTAGAAGTGCAAAATAAAAAATTGTATCTAGAGACTTGGAAACGAGTTTTTATATGAATACCTAAGAAACTAGCTATTAAAAAAAAAAAAAAAAAAAAATCTACATTTTTCTTGGTCAAAATAGCTGTCTAGTGACTTTAAAACATGGCAAAGATAGATTTTGAGATTGTCAGAAAGCGATAGGCTATCTTGCTCAAACATGTTGGAAATGGTTCATACTTTGCATCGACTTAATGGATTATTGGTTTACGTCGACACATGTGATGGTCTTAATTTGTAATTGGGTTCGAAATTGATTTACAAATATTTGAGTTTCGGTTGGGTTAGATCTGATAAGCCCAAATGAGATTAAATTTTTATTATATGTATTTTAAAATGGTAAAAAACCTAGAGTAAAAAATAAAAAGCAAGGGTAAACTGTCGACACTTTAAGATTATTGTATTTTGTAGATTTTAGAAATTCAATAAAATTATTCTATTTGAATGTTTGACATAATTCTGTTATTGGAACGAATCAGGGAAAATCGATGGTCTTTTACTGATTTGCTTTATTATTATGTGTGTTTTAGATGTGGTTTTAACAAAACACTAGTTTTGCCCAAACCACTGATTGTTAAACCAAAGAATAATACTTTGGGTACTAATGGATGAGTACTAATATGTGTACTAACTAAAGCATAGTATCCGTACTATGCGCATAGTACGGGTACTATGCTTTAGTTAGTACACATATTAGTACTCATCCATTAGTACCCATAGCATCACCCTAAACCAAATGGCCAAATAGTTCTAGAATGCAATGCACTTTGCCCTGTACGTTTGGCCAACAGTTAGCCGTTCCACGAGTTTTTCTAGAATTTCATAATACTTGCTTTTAAGCAAATTTAAACCACATTTCATGAACGAAAACAATTTTATAAACCCACAAATTAAAAGTTATTTCGACAAGCATTAATCATTTAAAAAATAACTCTAAATTTTATAAACAAATTGAAGAACAAGAAATATCTTAGACTAAGCAACTCACAAGACTTTCTTCATGTCTTATACATAGTGAAAGTTTTCTTTGCACAATTCATATTAAATCAAGCAAGAGTTATTATTTCAACAACATTAGGCATACTGTTTCATTATTATCAAAATAAAAGCATCTAGATCCTTTAGTAAACAGTTTCCCTATTTTAGATGATGTAAAATAATATTTTTTTTCAACGACCTCAAAAAATTAAGCAAAGTTATGAATTTCCTCGAAGTAAAAAGAGTCTATATTTTGAAGGAATATAAAAGATAATAGTTTTGAAAAATCTAGTTTCTCCCCTTAAGTGAAACATAAATAAAATCAAATCAACCATGTAAGCAACAATCAATAAAATCATATCTACCACGTGAGAAATCAAAAGCATTCATAGTCACAAAAGCAATCCATACCATATCATCATAATTTCTCCACATTTGTCATTATAAAAAGACTAATACAATATAAGTGCCAAAATTAATTTAAAAAGTCACATTGAATGAGAGCAAAACATTGAGAGCTAAGTTACAAAATAAAAGCAAAAATCTAAAACATAGCTAAAAATATGTTTAATAATGGAAATGTGATGCAATGAATGAAACCCTAAAATAACGGTGTATCACAAAGAAGGAAATGACGTACAGGTGAAGGGCACAAAACGCTCACAAGACTAGAGATATCAACCCTCAAAGAGGTCAACTCTATGAAGGTGCGGTTAGAAGCTCTTTTAGCACAATACTCCTTATAGCATGTAGTCAACTACACTCACAGAGAATCTATGTTAGTGATGAAATATGGAATGCTGAGGATATCCATGCTGAAATCAAGCAGTCATTGATGTGCAGATTATTTGATTGATTATTGTAATATTTTGTAATTAAGAGATTATTGTTTTTCCTTTATAGTATTATTTCCTTTCCTTTATTGTATTCAAGGCCATTGTATAAATTGGCTGATGTATATGTTACAAAATACACAATACACAAAATACAATTCTCTCTATTTGCTTGATATTCTTTGGTCTTCTTTTCTACCCTTTTATCAAGCTCTCTTGTAGGCATTCTTCGGCAGTCTTCTGCCATTTTTGCCACCTTCAATTTCAGACTCTGACATGGTATCAGAGCAAACCTTTGCTTCCGCTACAATCATGTCTAAACCATTGTCACTCTAAACCTGCAAAACAATCACCAGAATTATTTTTTCTCCAAAGATCACAAATGGACCCAACCAAATTACCAACTGAACCAGAATCAGCATCCACAGCCACAAATGAAGGCCCACACAACTAAACTCCACTAGGCCCACACAACCAAATTCCACCAGAGCCCAACCAACAACCCGGATCCACTTTCCAACCCGGTCCATTTCCATTCGGGTTTATAGGTCAAAACCCTAACCCAACGAGTCAAAATCCCTACCCGGTTTTCCAAATTCTTCCAGCCTCTACCGGTCGACCGAAACTAGGGGATGCCCTTTTCTCATAGATTTTCGATGGATCTGAACTCGTGCTCGTCAAACAACAGTTGGTCGGATCTCAAAATTACGCCACTTGGGCCAGAGATTTCTGGCGCGCTCTGGTAACCAAAAACAAGGAAGGGTTCATCGATGGAACCCTTCCCCAATCCACTGAACCGCATATGATCTAGCATTGGATTCGATGCAACACCCTTGTTCGTGCCTGGATCAGCAACTCCCTGACCTAAGAGATTGCCGTCGGCTTGCCTCAGATAGAAAACGCCCATGAAATGTGGACGAACATCCGAGAGATGTACGGCCAACTCGATCTCGCAAAGATTTTTACTTTGCGTAAAAACCTTCTCGAAATCAAACAACACAACCTGCCAGTCACAGTCTATTTCAATCACCTCTCAGCGATTTGGAATGAGGTCGATGCCGTTGAAGAGCCGATTGAAGGGCCTTCCGTGATTTTTCAACAGATCAAACAACTGAAAGATCAAAACAGGTTAATACAATTTCTTATTGGTTTAAATGATAGTTTTTTGGCTTTTCGAACGCAGATGTTGGCCACGTCCCCTGTGCCATCTCTCCGGTACACCTACCAGCTGGCCGTACAAGACGAAAGCCAGAGATTGGCTTCATCTGAACCCCAATCCAGCATTAAAGTGGCTGTCTTCGCTGCAAATTCCCAACGGCGGTAGATTGAACAACCTGAAATGAAAACTGGAAATGAGAAAGGGAGGCTAGGGCAAAGTCATGGCGAAAAATTTAATTTATATGGAGGAAATAACGGCCCAGATTTGACCTCCTCATCCAACGGCTCACACTCAACTGGGCTTAATAATCATTTGGGCTCATTGTTTGTTACTAGCCCAAATTCCAGAAATAGCCACATTTTGGCAGCCGGCCCAAACTCTGGCCCTAACCCAGTCCACTCCACAAATTCCTCCCATGCTTCATTCAAATCCAACAAAAATCGCTATTACGATTTTTACAAGAGGAGAAACCATACAAGAGACACTTGTTGGAAATTACATGGCCGCAACCAAAATTAACGGTCTGGATCTGCCACTACCAATCAAGTAAGTCACCCTGTCAATTCTAAGAGTAACGCTGCGGTCCCTATGTTTAGCCAAGAACAATATCGTCAGATCTTGCAACTACTAAGTCAAAGTCCGCAGACCAATACCACATCCTATGCAGGTACATCTTTTTGTTCCAATATTACAAAAGAAAATTTTTGGATAATTGATTCAGGGGCCAGTGACCACATCGTTTGTGATCCCAAACATTTTTCCCACATGTTTCCCATACCCTACACCTCAGTCCGCATGCCAAATGGTACACATGCACTAGCCACCCAATTAGGAACTGTTCATCTAAATAAAAATTTAATTCTTCATAATGTCTTGTTTGTTCCTGCTTTTCGTTTCAATCTCATCTCAGTTTCGAAACTTTGTCAAGATAATGTTTGTATCTTAAAATTTTTTCCTAACAAATGTGAATTTCAAGACCGTTTGACTGGGAAACTGATGGGCTCGGGTAAAGTTCACCAAGGACTTTATTATTGGATAGGTGCTTCTGATGATAAAAATTCAATGTCTTGTATTTCTGAAAATAAAAGTTCTTTTAATAAAAGTTCTTTTATTTTGCATCAACGTCTGGGTCATAATGCATCTATTCCACAACCCAATTGTCCTATTTGTCCCCTTACAAAACAGTCGCACACAAAATTTCCCAAACACATGCCTTCCACGAATCGTAAATTTTCCTTAGTTCATATGGACATATGGGGTCCATATCACACAGCCAATCACGATGGCTCTAGATATTTTCTTACCATCGTAGATGATTACTCTCGGGGAACCTGGGTCTACCTCATGCACTCTAAAACCCAGACACTCACTCATATCAGACATTTTTTGTCCATGGTCAAAACCCAATTTGATGTTTCGGTTCAACGAGGTCGGACAAATAATGCTAGGGATTTTTTCAACACCCAATGTTCGAAATTTTTTTCCTCTCTTGGTATTATCCATGAAAGCTCTTGTGTCTATACCCCTCAACAGAATGGCATAGT